GACAGTCATACTCAAAACCGAACCCAGAAAGAAAAATGTAGTCAGTGAATCCAGTTTTATTCTCCTATATCCCTTAACTATTCCAAGAATGCGTTTAATAAAACTCCACCAGTAACAGAGGTTTCAGAAATCCCTCATTTAAAAATAATAAAACGAAAACAGGCCCAGTGTTTCATCAAGATTTCCTCTTTCCCCAGACACTTGGTGAAGAAATATCTTACTGCATGTCTAATGTCTTAGACACCTTCCTTAACCCTCACATAGCCAGAGATAGCTTTCATTTTGTATCATACCGTAAACTAGCTGTCATGTACATTTAGCCAGAAGCCTTGGTGCCAATAACGGCTATATTTTAAGTAAATGTATACAAATGGTATTGTATTCTGAAGTCCGTAATTAGTTCAGGTTATCACAACTTAAATTTATTATTAAAACTCATGACATATACAAAAAGCTTTTATCCAGCAAATAAAGATCTGTTAATGCAATACAGTGTGGGTGGAAGATGTAAGTCACCATTTAGTGCTAACATGATAAAGGTTTCATTATTGTGAATTAATTATTGCGTGCAATCAGAGTACCCTGATTAGCTTTGGGTAGGGTCTCTTTTTGAGGCATCGTCTTCCTTCACAAATTCCTTAAATGACAACAGTCCCCTCAAAACTATATTTTAATCTAAAATTCCATTCATCACGTTTCAGCCTTATTGTGCTGTTTTATAGCACCAGCAGTTTCCTTGTCAACTCTCCTGTACTCTTCCTGGTTTGTGAATCAAGCGATCTAGCACTAAAAAGAAAAAGACAATCCGCAGGAAAATCACATCTGGGATGGTTATTTCAAGATTCTTTACATTTTGGATAAATATTTTTCTACCAATGGCTGAAGAGTGAAGGGCTCTATAAAAGGCCAATTACACTTTAAACTTGTTACAGCCATGGTTTGCATTTTCTTAATTTTGTGTTCGTTCACTAATTCTAATCCCGGAATTTTTATTTTCTCCTTTTGCAGAGGAAGAAAACGCTTTGTAAGTGAAGGAGATGGGGGTCGTCTGAAATGCGAGAGCTACTAGGGAGAAGAAGCATAACAGAATCAGACGTGAAAGGAAGGAAATTTGAATTTACAAAACACGGTTCATGTTTTATACATTTCTCTCTCTCTCTTTCTCTCTCACACACAGTTCTGGGTACAAAGCCTTTCTAAACTACTTTTTATATGTTCAATTTCACAAGTAAGAGCGGGAGGTTTGAACAGTGAAAATCCACATGTGAGTGGTGTGAATAAGCTAACTTTCTGTAAATCTGTTAGGCCCAATCATTCCATGTTTGGCATCAGTGCTCACCTGCCACTTTTTTTCCTTTCAAAGTCAGTGTTTTGTGGTAAATTCACTGGTTTATACAGAGCTTTATAATACTGGGAAATGTGTTACCCAGACTCCGCGTTGGCTGCTGCTGTTGAAATGATTTTTTTTTTTGCTTTTGGAGGTGTAAACGAATGTAATTTGATCTTTTTTTATTTTTATTTTTTGGGCGTAATTGTTCTGCTTGCTAAGGGGATGCTTATTTCGCCCCCTTGAAGCAGATGAGGATGGGAAAACTGAAATATTTTTATTCATCTTTCCAGAGAACATATTACTTTTGACATGACCGTTCAGAATATGGTGGCTGGAACATCTATTTTTCTACAAAAGACTAACTGGAAATATGAACAGAATTCTGTTAGAATGTGTGTGAATATATTTCTGGGGAAAAAAAAAAAGTTTAAATAAACACATTTAGTGATGCAGAATGTTTGGTCATTGTGTAAGTGAATTATTGGTATTGTAAGAACAAGTAATTCCTGGATGACGGGTCTAGATGAGATACAGAACCTTTTACTGGGCCTCACCTTGCAGTGGGAGAAAATGCAAAAATAACAAAATTTACTTTCCAGTCTGCAGAATCTTGATTTTCCTATAATTCACTCAAAACTGATGTAGAGGACCTGAGGATAATAGTTACTCAAAAGGCTAGAATTGTTTCATATTATAACATTATACTGAAATATACCAGACCATTACAAATGATCTATTCAGTAACAGGAGTACAAATAACAAGGGTTTTAGAGAAAAAAAAAAGGATGAGTTTACTTACAGCAGAGAAAATGTTCAATACAAAAGAGCGTTAAAGATACACAATTTTCTGCCTAGGGATGTTCTATAAAATTCAGAAAAACAACTGGGGTTTGTTAATTTTCATGTACCCCCAATGTTTGTTAAGGACATCATTCCACAATATTTAAAGTCAATCCGATACTATTAGTCAGGCCTTAAAAATGACTTGCCACAGCAAATCTGGAGAGTCATGGCACACTCACCAGTGGCAAGTGGAAATTCTGATCCCTGTTTAACATGTCTGCTTGCAAGTTGCTATGGAAAGAAACATTTAACAGTGTAAATGGGAAAAAAGATGTAGACCACAGCAGCTGCCATACTAGGATATTCCTCTGTGATAAATGTGTCATAAAAGTTTACCTATGAATTTACCAACAACATGGCTGCACATTCTTTATATATAAAATACTGTGTTCTATATGTATTAACATGGAAGAATTGTTTGTTTGGGTATAGGCTATTTGTGGATGGCCAGAATGGCAAATCAAGTTACCTGATTACTTACCTGCATTTATTGCCAAATATGCCCATGAGTTCCTAACTGCTTATGTATTTATGGTACAAGCTACAGATCCGTTGCAGATTCATAACTAGTAACTCAGAGTTAACTGCCCATGTAAACTGCATGACAAGTGAGATATTTTAGAACTTTATTTTTAAAGCGTTTGAGGGTTCTGCGCAGTATCTTAGCTGTTCCTACAACTGCACTCTTCTGGACAACAATCTCTGATGTCCCACCTGGAATCTGTTATCTGTTGAAGCCACTCCCCAAGCCTTGGAGCCACAGCCCCGATCACAACTGGGACTACTACTGCCTTCACTTTCCACATCCTTTCTAGTTTTTCTTTCAGTCCTTGGTATTTCTCCACCATCTCATGTTCCTTCTTCCTGATGTTATAGTCACTGGGTATTGCCAAATCCACAACGACTGCAGTCTTCCATTCCTTGTCTACCACCACAATGTCAGGTTGGTTGGCCAGCACTTGCTTTTCTGTCTGGATCTTAGCCCTGCCATTCTCAACTACCCTTTGTGGTATCTCCCATCTGGACTTAGGCAGGTCCAATCCATATTCTGTGCAGATGTTTCGGTACACAGTCCCAGCAACTTGTTTGTGTCTCTCTGTGTATGCTGTTCCTGCTAACATCTTGCTACTGGGTGCTGAACTGTCTCAGAGGCCTCTTTGCAAAGTCTGCATCTTGGGTCTTGCCTGGTGTGGTAGACTCCAGCTTCTATTGGTCTGATGCTGAGTGCATGTTCCTGTGCTGCTAGGATTAGTGCCACAGTGCTGTCTTTCAGTCCTGCGTTTTCAAACCACTGGTAGGATTTTGTCATGTGGTACACCCCATAGAAAGGTTTGTCTTGCCAAGGAACCTCCTCTTTTTCATGCATCCTCTATCTGTTGAAGTCTCAGGCATTCCCTTAACAGTTCATCTTTGGGAGCCATCATCGTGATGTACTTGTGGATGCTCTGTGTATCATCCAGGACTGTGGCCTTTACACTCATCAGGCCCCGGCCTCCTTCCTTCCGGCTGGTGTACAGTCTCTGGGTGCTGGATTTCGGTTGGAATCCTCCATTTATAGTGAGTAGTTTCCTGTTCTTGACATCCATGGTGACCAGTTTGTCTCTTGGCCAGGTCTCCAGCTGTGTACCTGTTGACCGGTAGGGCATATGTGTTGATGGCTTGGATCTTGTTCTTGTCATTAAGCTAGGACTTTAGGACCTGTCTGACTCTTTGGAGGTACTTGGATGTTACTATCCTCCTTGCCTCTTCCTCATGGTTTCCATGCTTTTGTGGTACCCCCAGATACTTGTAGTTGCTCTCCACATCTTCTATTTGGCCTTCTGGAACTTCAGCTCCTTCTGTCCTGATCATCTTCCCTCTTTTTGCTATCATCCGGCCGCACTTCTCTAGTCCAAACGACATTCTGGTGTCATTGCTGTATAATATATATACATCTATATCTCCTGCACTCCACCAAAACTACTGTATTGCCCGGTGCTTGTCCAGCAAACATACAAAAATATATAAAAGGATAGCACTCCAGGGAATTGAAATAAGACTTAACTTTTATGACCTTATTTTAAATGAAAAATGTCAATGTTTCAGCTTCATTCCCTCAAGTCCTGATGAAAGCTTGAGGGAATCAAGCTAAAACGTTGACATTTTAAAGGGACACTATAGTCACCAGAACAACTACAGCTTATTGAATTTGTTCTGGTATGTAGAATCATTACCTTCAGGCTTTTTGCTGTTAACACTGTCTTTTCAGAGAAAATGCAGTGCTTACATTACAGCCTAGTGATCACTTCACTGGCCACTCCTCAGATGGCTGTTAGAGATCCTTCCTGGGTCATGGCTGCCTAAAATGCAACCATTCAGTATCCCCTCCCTCTGCATGCAGACACTGAACTTTCCTCATAGAGATTCATTGATTCAATTCATCTCTATGAGGAGATGCTGATTGGCCAGGGCTGTGTTTTGAATCATGCTGGCTCTGCCCCTGATATGCCTTCTTGTCACTCTCAGCCAATCCTATGGGGAAGCACTGTGATTGGATCAGGCCACCACTTCTAATGATGTCAGCAGACTGTTTGTTTTTCTGAGTCTAACAGCATGCAGAGTTACAGCTTCAGGTTTGAATACAGTAAGATTTTTTACTATAGTTATAGAGGCATGAGGGGCCCAGGGGGGCTAGATGGTGGTGTTAACACTATAGGGTCAGGAATACATATGTGTTCCTGACCCTATAGTGATCCTTTAAATTTAAAATAAGGTAATATGTCTTATTTCAAGTCCCTAGAATGATTGATATATAAATCAAATATATATACACACACACACACACACACACACACACACACTAATCTCTATATGAAATAAGTCCATAGCAAGCCAGTAACCTATTTCATGCTGATGAGTTGAAATAACAATGAAACAGCTGCCCATGAGTGGTTCACTGGCATTGCACCTCTTCTTAAGTTGTTTCAAAGTTGTTGTATGCAGCAGACACGTACTCAAAGGAATCCATGTATAAAGGGGAATTATGAGGCAAAACTGTGGTTCTTTGTTGAACTCATTTGCATACGCCTACCCAGAATCCCTTGCAGTATTGAGAGCACTGTTAAAGTGTGATTTATGTGGTAAAAGCAAGTCTCAAGACTTGGCTGGTGTGTGCATTTGTGTTTAACATTGCAATAAAAAATAAATATATGTAAATGTTATTTTGTTTTACCCTGAATTCTTTTCACACTTAACTATGGCTTAACATTTAATTTACTGGGAGTGTTTGTGAACACACCTTGTTTTTATACACCGGCCCCATCAAATTCCGCAGTGCTTTACAGTGGGTGGACGAACAGGCATGTAGTTGTAATCAGACAAGTTGGACACAGTGGTTGAGTTCAATGAGCTTCCACACTAGAGGGAGTGGGGTAAAGTGACACAAAAGGTAAGGATAGTATTAGACTAATGACAGTTGCAAGAGAGGAATCAGTCGGGAGTTAACAGTTTGATTGATATGCTTTTATGAAGAAGTGGGTTTTTAATGATTTTTTTTAGGAGGAGTGGAGACTGGGTAAGCATCTAACGGAGGAGGGACGTGAGTTCCACAGGAACGATGCAGCCCCGGAGAAGTCTTGAAGGCGAGCATCGGAGGTGGGAGTACGGACAGAAGATAGACGTAAGCCTTCAGCAGAGCGTAAGGGCCGTATTGAATTCTCTACATTATGCTACAGACTGCAACTGCCTTCCGTTATTAAGACTTAAACTAGTTACATTAATAACTTTTTATGCCCCAGCACGTGGGGTGAGGAAATAAGATGGAACTGAATAACATAGGGAGTTGTCCTACAGCTGATTGAGAAGCATGTGTGTGCGTGCGTGCTTGCAGCCCCAACACAGAGGATTCTTATTGAGAAGCCTTACATTGGCATATTCTCCTGCACAGGCAGAGAAAAGGGAATGGCTTTAGAGATAGGAAGATATTTTGCACACAATTTTTTTACATATATAATATAAAAATAACAAACCTAAATTTGAATGCATTTTTCCATTGGCGGTATATCTGCCAAATAGTGATAAAAACCCCTACATTTGGGCAATGGATTGTTCCTTAGACAGATCAAAAAAAATAACATGCATGTGTTTTGTTTTTCTTATTTTCTTTGGGGGTATGTGGATAAATCACTTGTAAAAGCTGCAGACCTTTTTCAGTAAGAGTGCGTGAGCAGCTCATTGAGAAGGGGGGAAGGCCGTAAGGCTCTAGCTCAATGCACCTGTCACTTCCATTGGTACTGTGGAGCTCAAGAGGTAGATAACCTACTGCAGATGTTTCTGCCCCAGTTATAAAAATCTGAACTTTCTTAACACAAACTGTCAAATATTACAAACGTCAGGATAACAGACATTTCTGGAGTGTTCCTTTAATGCTGCTAATAGGCAATGTGTGCCATGAACACATTGGTGGCATTGCAGTGTATTTCTTAAGGTATACGTTATCGGTTTTTCTAGTTATAGCTACAAAACAGATTTAACCTTTAATAGTATAATTGATTAAGGTTGTCTGCATACATTACGTCAGGGGAAGTGTTTATGGTATTAATTCTGTTCACGCACAAACACCTGTACATGAGCATTCGTTATTTGTTGGGTATCCCTTATTTACCTTTTGAGGTACATTGAAGTCTTGAATTGACTAAATTCACAAAGGTTCTGTTTAAGTGACAATGACTCCCGTTCAAAAGGATTTTGATTACAGAAACTTGTGTTTAAGGTAATGTAAGAACAATTGCAGGGCCGGGTCCCAAGCAAAGGACAGACATTTGGATTTGGACAGTTAAGTAAACATATCACTTTTATACTATTTAACCAACTTTTCTTATAGTACAGAAGCCAACAGTACGCAGGGTGGGGTGTCACAAAAAGAGATGCTAAAGCAGTTGGGGAGTGGGGTGCTACTTACAGCCTGAAAGCATCTTAGTAACTCTAGTCCAACGCTTTTTGATTCAAGACTTGTACTGTCTCAGAAGTAGCTGGGCAGAGCGAATAGGGACCGGCAGGGGAGGGCTGGCAGCCTTAGGCCTGGTGGCAAAACCAGTCAAGTGGCCCATTGCACCACCAAATCAGTTCACCATCCATGCCCACCTTTTCCTGGTTTTATAATGGATATTGATGTTATGCTAATCAGTAGCTCTTTGCCATAGCCACTCCTTCACGGCTCTGACTTTCAATGTTGTCAGAGTGCAGGCTGAGAATCTCTGAGCCTGTGCTCTGACTCTCTAACTAAGCGCCGGAACCACGAGGGAGAGGATATAATCTGACTGCACTTACTACTGGTGCGCACCAGTGGACCACCAGCGACTCGTTTAAATTGAATATGCTGGTGTCCCCAACCTCTGTTGTCATGGCACCCTGCGTGACCGCACAGCTTGTACACCCCAACGGCTGGCCCTGCTGACACACACTGATGTTACTCACTCAAAATTAATACAGACATCAGAGTAAACACCAATAAACTGTGGAAACAGAGCTGACCCCTCCCCCCCAAAAATTTATAAAGATTTGCTTACTGGATTTGTTGTAAGATTAAATCATGCCTCCTCCCCTCTCTCCCCCATGCGCTGCTCTGTAGGCTGGGAGGAAGTGAAGAGTAATCCTATTCTCGCAGCACAGCACCATCTGTGGCTGCATGGGGAACAGCTGGTTAATGTAATGCTTGCAGGATGGCCAGCTGCCGCAGAACTTCTTTGTTCCCGTCTCTGCAAAGGGTTCCAGGCACTGCTTGCTGTGAGTGTGAGCCACTGTAAATTAGGGGCAGAGGGCACTTGCGCTGCGGTAAAGACGGGTCTGGGCAGGAGGAGAGTGCTGTGCAATCAGTGCACTCCCCTCCTGTGGGTCACCAGTAGATTGGTGCACCTGCCCAGGATCAGAGCTGGTGCAAGGATTTTTGCCGCCCTTGGCAAAAGAAATATTTGCCGCCCCCATGTGAACTAAAGCCAGTGCTGGACACAGTGTGTGTTTACATTAAAAAGCCTGCAGGAACCAGCTAGAGACAGCAGAACCACTTCATTAAGCTAAAATTATAATTAGTGTCACTAATAATATACTAGATTGCCTACTTACAACCAGATGAGGATGACGATGGGCTGCAGTTTGGCTCCACTGGTCTGGTGTAGAACAGGATCTCTGGAGGCTGTTTGCAACTGTGGTCACAAAATTCAATGTTCTGGGAGAATGGAAAGCAGCTCCATTTTTTGGGGGCCCCATACACAGCTCAAGGTCTGGGTCCCAGCGCCTGACGGTAAGTATGCCCATAAGGCCCACTCATAAGTCCACTTATACGTTCCTCCCACCCATGAGTTTCCTCACAGGGAGTGGAGTGTGTAGGGGATGTGTTATTGTAGAGGATCTAATGTGTGTGCTTATGGTGTGTAGTGCATAGGGATCCTGTACTGCGCAGAGTTTCTGTTTCCTGTACCCGGCCGGACTGACAGGAAGCAGTGCTGCAGCCGCCTGAAGCTCTTTACAGAGTGAAAAAGAGAGAAGGAAACAGGAAGTGATTGGGAAAAGGTAAATATGGCATGACAGTGCAGCTTTAAGTACTCAAAAGGTGGGGCATTTACCATAGAAACTAGTGGGCACATTGCATTGGCGACTCCTCTCCTTTTACAATCTGCACCACTTTTTAGAACAGAACACTTTTTTGTTAAATCTCCCTCATTGCTCGTTTTACCATATACCAAACACAGGCTCCCATCTCCGAATAGGGGAATGGCCTTTTTGCTACAGTGCAGAATTATAGGGACCTCCTTACCTCATTATAGATCGACGGGCACTTTAACTTTGCAAGATAATTGCCTGCTCTCTGTTTAACCCCATTAAGATTTTTAACCTAGTCCCCATAACCATATTCTGGCATAAAGTGTCCTGTACAAACCTTTAAATGAGTGGGACATTGCATTATGACATCAGATATTTAAAGTTTGGTTTGTTCCTTCAGAGGTCTAACGAAGGGACCTGTTAATGGTAATTTTTTTTTAAATCACTATGAAAATACATGACATTTTATGGGATCAATATCACTTGTAAATTACAAATGTGCATCTGTGCAGACAAAGGCGCATGGTATTTTAAGTTCCTGATGACTATTTGTTTTATTTTGGGTTTGTTCTAAACATAATAAATCTTTTGTATATTCATTTCCAAGATATTTTTTGAGAACCTGTAAAATCCAAGAAGCTTGAAAGTTGTCTGTACATAGAATAACTGCCTATATTAATGGATTACAGAGTAAAAGATATGCCAAAAATGGATTACGTGATATCACTTGTCCTGTTCGCTACAACTCAGAAAGGCTCACATTTGATTTTATATATCCTGTACCATTACATAAGGAATCGGTTGCATTTGGTGAGATCATCAGAGTGGAAACCACCCATAGGACGTACTATTTAGTGCTTTTCTGATCTTAGGTTCATCATAAAACTAGTTTTCCTAAACCTGTGAGAAACATAGACAGCCAAGATGTCATGATGAACTTTCATAGGAGAAATGCTACAGCTAAGGATGGAGGAAAAGTTGTGATGACCAAATTCACTGGCTACTTCCTCACAGTTTAGCAGAGGCTATGAAGACTCATTACCTGTTACTTATGTTACAAAATCATTACAAAAGTATTATTTTTCATCTTAATGCTCTTTATTAAGGTATAAATACAAAGTGCATAAATTGCTCTAGTGATGTGATCAAGAAGCAGGCACCCCTTTTAAAACAGACATACTTTAAACTGAATGCTAGAAGACTAAGCAAAGCGTGGGTTTGCAGTGTACTATACAGGTCTCACAAGAATAGTTTAGAAGAAAAGAATATTGTGTTTTCATCTTTTGGGGCAATTATTTTCTCAGGGTGGGATTGCAAAATAGAAGTTCTTACACTGCCTGTACCGATTAATGCAGCACATTACTCTCACTAAACATTCTGCTCAATTTGTGCCTATATTCCGACCATCTTACATGAACCAATCAAGATTCTTAGGACTGGTTCAAGGGTTGCTCGCTCTGAGCAAGTTCCTGCTGGCGAATAGTGTTCTGGGCATCACGTTGCATCTTTTCCAGTTTGGCAAGGGTCACTGATTTCAGAGGCAGCAACTTTGGTTTGCATAAGACCATTGTGGGGAGATCCTCCACACACAGCTGTCCTATGAAAGGACACATCGAAAACAGAATTAGAAGACTTGAAGCCACATTGGTTAGAAGAAATAATACTTCATATTTATAAAGTAACAGGAACCTAGAAAACCAATACGGAGGGGGGAGTGTTGGTTGAGAGATCTCACCCAGCTCCTTGCGTCAATGGATGTTGCTGAAGAAGCAGGAGATCTCTGGGAAAGCCGGGCCATTGCAGGATATTTATATTTATGCATTATCTGCATAAATATATTAGTGTTTGAGCATTATTTTAAATAAATAGAAAAATAAAACCAAGCCTGTCATATGACAACTTGTAATCTTGTGCATCAATGTGCATTTTATGGTTAACAGTCTGAAGCCTAAATTAGACACTATAACTAGTTAAAGTTATTCACAAAAGTTACAATCGGGATATAAATTCCCTATAGACTTATGAATATTTGATAGTATTTCACCTTGTTTAGGAAGCACCTCATGAAACATGGATTTCACCTCTGGCATCTTGAAAATCGTCTCTGTAAACACCAATATAAGCAGAGATTTATTGGAAGATCACTAATGAATATTCTGCAACTACTACATATTCAAGGTAACCTGTCTGTGAAAGTTGAAATATGGGATGCACACAGTATGGAATCAACTCTTACACAGGTGTAAATGTAGCTTTACCAACAAAAAAGGTTGAAAGGTAGTGTGTTGATATCTCATCCTGTCCCAGTACCTGTCTCAGTACCAACCTTATCCCAGTGACTGTCTCACTCTGTCCAATTACCTCCCTTACCCCGGTGTCTGTCTTGCTCTGTCCCGGTATCTCTCTTACCCCGGTGTCTGTGTCGCTCTGTCCCGGTATCTCTCTTACCCCGGTGTCTGTCTCGCTCTGTCCTGGTATCTCTCTTACCCCGGTGTCTGTCTCGCTCTGGCCCGGTATTTCTCTTACCCCGGTGCCTGTCTCGCTCTGTCCAATTATCTCTCTTACCCCGGTGCCTGTCTCGCTCTGACCCGGTATGTCTCTTACCCCGGTGTCTGTCTCGCTCTGTCCCGCTATCTCTCTTCCCCCGGTGTCTGTCCCGCTATCTCTCTTCCCCCGGTGTCTGTCCCGCTATCTCTCTTCCCCCGGTGTCTGTCCCGCTATCTCTCTTCCCCCGGTGTCTGTCCCGCTATCTCTCTTACCCCGGTGTCTCTGTCTCGGTATCTCTCTTACCCCGGTGTCTGTCTCGCTCTGTCCCGGTGTCTCTCTTACCCCGGTGTCTCTCTTACCCCGGTGTCTCTCTTACCCCGGTGTCTCTCTTACCTCGGTGTCTCTCTTACCCCGGTGTCTCTCTTACCCCGGTGTCTCTCTTACCCCGGTGTCTCTCTTACCCCGGTGTCTGTCTCGCTCTGTCCCGGTATCTCTCTTACCCCGGTGTCTGGCTCGCTCGGTCCCGGTATCTCTCTTACCCCGGTGTCTGGCTCGCTCTGTCCCGGTATCTCTCTTACCCCGGTGTCTGGCTCGCTCTGTCCCGGTATCTCTCTTACCCCGGTGTCTGGCTCGCTCTGTCGGTATCTCCTCTTACCGGTGTCTGGCTTCGCTCTGTCGGTATCCTCTCTTACCGGTGTCTGTCGCTCTGTCGGCTGTCCATTATCTCTCTTACCCCGGTGTCTGTCTGGCTCTGTCCCGATCTCTCTGCCCGGTGTCTGTCTCGCTCTGTGTCGGTATCTCTCTTACCGAGTGTCTGTCTCTCTTACCCCGGTGTCTCTCTTACCCCGGTGTCTGTCTCGCTCTGTCCCGGTATCTCTCTTACCCCGGTGTCTGGCTCGCTCGGTCCCGGTATCTCTCTTACCCCGGTGTCTGGCTCGCTCTGTCCCGGTATCTCTCTTACCCCGGTGTCTGGCTCGCTCTGTCCCGGTATCTCTCTTACCCCGGTGTCTGGCTCGCTCTGTCCCGGTATCTCTCTTATCCCGGTGTCTGGCTCGCTCTGTCCCGGTATCTCTCTTATCCCTTTCTTTTCTCCCTCTGTCTCTATATTCCCGATCCTGCTCCGAGGTTACCTAGTAACATGTGACGTCATCACGTTCTATCCGTTCTGGCACCGCTAAGCATGCCGGTTCGTGTAGTCCGTGTCTGATCACGTGACATGGCATACAGGCTGTTAGTACATGGTGAGCTGGAGAGGTTGCCCGGAGATGTGAAGTCTGTGTCCCCCGGGCTGGGGAGGCTTGATAGAGACCATGCGGGTCCTGCTAGCGGGCTGAGGGGCTGAGGGCCGGGTAACCCGGATGTGTTCATTGTTAGTTGTTAATAAAGTTTGGAAAGTTTCCTTGTTTTTCTGAGGGCGGGGCTTGTGACGGGGCGGGTTCGAATGACGTCATGCGTCGCAGCGCGGAGGAGGCGGAGGCTGGGGATGGCGGCGCTGGAGGAGGAGAGCAGAGCGGGGACACGGACTGAACGCTGACTGACACAGACACCGGGAACGGCGGATACACGGTGCGTGACACCCGGGGCGGGTCCCTGCAGGCCTCGGAGATAACCGGGCCCCCGAGAGAGAGACAGCCAGAGACCGGGCCCCTGAGAGAGAGAGACAGCCAGAGACCGGGCCCCTGAGAGAGAGAGACAGCCAGAGACCGGGCCCCTGAGAGAGAGAGACAGCCAGAGACCGGGCCCCTGAG